CTTTCAAAGTCTCTCCATTTAGGATGATGTTGACTGTTGGCTTTGTATAAATGCCCTTAATGATGTTGAAGAATTTCCCTTCTATTCCTATTTTGTTGAGGGTTTTTATCATGAATGTGTGTTGGACTTTGTCAAATGCCTTTTCTGCATTGATTGATAAGATCATGTGGTTCTTGTCTTTTGTTTTATTAATGTGATGGATTACATTGATTATTTTTCTAATTTGGAAGCAGCCCCGCATATGTGGTATAAATCCTGCTTGATCATGGTGAATTATTTTTTTGATATGTTGCTGAATTCTGTTGGCTAGAGTTTTGTTCAGGGTTTTTGTGTCAATGTTCATGAGGGATATTGGTCTGTAATTTTCTTTTTTTGTGGGGTCTTTACCTGGTTTTGGTATCAGGGTTATGCTGGCTTCATAGAATGAGTTAGGGAGTATTCCAGCCTTTTCTATGCTCTGAAATACCTTTAGTAGTAGTGGTGTTAACTTTTCTCTGAATTCTCCAGTGAAGCCATCTGGGCCGGGGCTTTTTTTGTTGGAAGTTTTTTAATATCCTTTTCAATCTCTTCTTTTGTTATAGGTTTATTTAGTTGTTCTACCTCTGTTTGTGTTAGTGTAGGTAGGTAGTGAGTTTCTAGGAATTTGTCCATTTCCTCTAGGTTTTCAAATTCGTTAGAGTACAATTTTTCATAGTATTCTGTTATGATTCTTTTAATTTCAGTTGGATCTGTTGTGATATCACCCATCTCATTTCTTACACGAGTTATTTCCTTCCTCTCCTGTTTTTCTTTTGTCAGTTTGGCCAAAGGTTTATTGATTTTGTTGCTCTTTTCAGAGAACCAGCTTTTTGTCTTGTTAACTCTTTCAATTGTTTTTCTATTCTCTATTTCATTTAATTCTGCTCTAATTCTTATTATTTCCTTCCTTCTGGTGCCTGAGGGCTTCTTTTGCTGCTCTCTTTCTGCTTGTTCCAGTTGTAGGGTTAATGCTTTGATTATGACCCTTACTTCTTTTTGGATGTGTGCATTTACTGCTATAAACTGACCTCTGAGCACCGCTTTTGCTGTGTCCCAAAGGTTCTGGTAAGATGTGTTTTCATTCTCATTTGATTCTATGAATTTCTTTATTCCCTCCTTAATTTCTTCTGTAACCCAGTAGTTTTTGAGCAAGGTGTTGTTCAGTTTCCATGTGTTTGATTTTTTTTCCTTGCTTTTTCTGTTAATTGATTTCTACTTTTATGGCTTTATGGTCAGAAAAGATGCTTTGTAATATTTCGATGCTTTGGATTCTGTTAAGGCTTGCTTACTGTGTTTGTTGAAGCTCAAATGATATCCTCTTTGGCCTGTGAGAGCCTCATTAGTTGGCTCTTGATTACTTTTGACATAACTCTAAACCTCATAGACTTTGATAGCTTTTTTGCTTTCTAATATGATACTTTTTTTCATATTTATTTATTTATTTTGATTGTACTTCAGGTGAAAGTTTACAGTTCAAGTTAATTTCTCTTACAAAAATTTATACACATATTGTTATGTGACACTAGTTGCAATCCCTATAATGTGACAGCACACTCCCCCATTCTGAGAAGCCCTGGTGGTGCAGTGGTTAAGTGCTCGGCTGCTAACTGAAAAAAAGTCCGTGGTTCGAAGTCATTAGCCGCTCCATGGGAGAAAGATGTGGCAGTCTGCTTCTGTAAAGGTTACAGCTTTAGAAACCCAATGGGGCATTTCTACTCTGTCCTGTAGGGTCACTGTGAGTTGGAATGGACTCGATGGCAATGGGTTTGGGTTTGCTTTTTTTTTTTCAGTGTGATTCTAGTCTCATCTTGGTCATTTCCTGTTCCAGACCTGGAATGAGCTATTTCTCCAAGGAACCCTGATCCTTTAATGGAAATGGTGTTTAGAGACCACAGTCTATGCATGTAATAGCTTTTTGTGTAAATCAAAGGAGCACAAATAAAGTATGTGACAATAAACAAAATATTGGTGGAAAAAGAAACCAGTCTGGTGACACTTAAGATATTATTGGTGATGAGTATCTTAGGTTCATAAAAGAAGTCTAGATTTATTTTTCTGTAATGAAAAAAATGCATATATTAACAAATTAGTATTTTAAATTATATTAAATATTAGTATGTTAAAAAAAAAAACAACATTAATGTCTACTGACATTTCTGAGCTCCTTTATCTTGAGCAGCTTCAGGTTGACATCCAGTGGTATTCTGACATTGTGGTGATTTTAGTTTCTGTATGCAGAAACTTAAAACACACACACGTACTCACACACACATGCACACACACACGCACGCACACACACACACACACACACACACCCCACCACCTGTATTCTAGATATCTTGATATTCCTCATTCCTGGCAGTCTTATTCCTGAGAAGTTGCCTGTAGCGGAGAGTTGGTCATATTAAATCTTGCTTTCTTGTTTATTTTAACCATAAAATTGAGATTAATTACTACAGGAAAAATTTGGTATGTATTGCATGTCTTCTCAATCCCTAGTACTAGTTTTACTCATTTCATTAGTGTGGTCAGTTCTCACACCAATAATGTAAAGTAGCTATTAATATTCTTGTTTTGCAAAAGAGAAAACTTGATGTTGTTAGCTGCTATCAAGTCAATTCCTGACTCTTGACAACCCCATCACAATGAAATAAAATGCTGACCAGTCTGTGCCATCCCCATGAGTCGTTGTGGATCAGACCATTGTGATGCATAGGGTTTTCACTGACTGATTTTCAAAAGTAAACCACCAAGCCTTTGTTGCTAGTCCATCTTATTCTGGAAACTCTGCTAGAACTAAGAAAATTAACCTCACAGAATTTAAGTAATTTGTTTCAGAATAGAAGCTAATATGTAGCAGATATTAGATCTATGTAACTCCAAAATCTTGTAATCTTCTCATATACCATATTGCCTCATCTTAAAGAATGTAATAAACATTTTTAAGCCTTAATGAAAAAATGATGGTTTTTCAAATTAATGAAAAATTAACTTCAGAATACTGATTGGTATATTTGGTTTGGAGGAGTACGTTGTGTCAGTCAGTCCGTCTTTCATAACCCATCTGGGAATTGCTATATTGATGTTTCAGACTCTTGTTGACATCAAAGGAAAAAATGAATAATAATGGGAGTTCTCATTTGTTGCTTACACATTATCTGTCTCATATGGAAGAAAATAAAGTCATCTGCTTCTCATTTTTTTTTTTTTTTGAGTCATTATTGTGTTTCCTGAAATGTTAAGGCTATTATATTTATCAGTGTATCAGTAAAGATTTGTAAACCTGTCTCTGTATAACAAGGCTCCTGGTGATTCCTTGTGGTTGCAGAACTACACCAACTTCTGCCACGTATTCAAGTTTATTTTTGTTAAATTTATTCACTGGAGGTAGAGTGAATCATACAGCATGCAGGAAGTGAGCAGATAAAAAATATAATAAATGATTAATGCTTGATCATGTAAGGCTGTTTAGTCAATTATAAGTTCACAATTACTTTTAACTTCATAGTTGGAGGAGTTTTAGAATATGACAGGAATTCCAACCTCAGTATCAACACGATGCTTCCTGCCAAAAGAAATATTAACAATATTTGGTTGTTTTATAACCTGTTATAGGCATTTCTTCTGGTGATATCCAGTCTGATAAAATATACATTTCTAATACGTTATCATAAAACCCTACATTCCATGTCCAGAGTGTATTTCCTTTGATACGCCTCTCCTCCCTAAATATGCATAGAGAACACATCCAGTAAATGTTAGCATAAAGAATGGTAAACATTCACCATCTTTAATTCCCTCTACTGTTGCTCCAGTTTGTGCATAGCCGTAAGCCAGATCATTAAATTATGCATTCTCAAATGCCTTTAAAGTTCTCCAAAAAATGCCCTATTAGCGTGTAATCAACACCCATGGAAGCAGCAGTCAAGAAATCAAACAACGCATTACATTGGACAGATCTGCTGCAAAAGACCTCTTAAAGTGTTAAAAAGCAAAGATGTCTCTTTGAGGACTAAGATGCCCCTGAGCCAAGCCACCACGGTGTTTTCAGTTGTCTCATATACATGCAAAAGGATGAATAAGGAAGACCAAAGAAGAATTGATGCCTTTGAATTATGCTGTTGGCAAAGAATGTTTAATATACCATGGACTGCCAAAAGAACGAACAAATCTGTCTTGGAAGAAGTACAGCCAGAATGCTCCTTAGCAGCGAGGATGGCAAAACCAGGTCTCACATACTTTGGACATATTAACGGAGGGATCAGTCCCTGGAGACGGACATCATGCTTGGTAAAGTAGAGGGTCAGCGAAAAAGAGGGAGACCCTTAATGCGACGGATTGACATAGTGGCTGCAACGGTGCGCTCAAGCATAGCAATGACTGCGGGGGTGGCGTGGGACCAGGCAGCGTTTTGTTCTGTTGTACATAGGGTTGCTGTGTACATCAGAACTGACTCAATGGCACCTAAAGACAACAACAATAATGCCTACTTGAGAACCTTGTTCACTTTTATACTTAAAATTATCAAGTAAATGTTTTGCCCTTTTCTGAATGTTTCTTGGTTTATTAACACACGGCTTTTGTTCTTTGTTCATTGTGCTAAACAATCTTGGTTTGTTCTCATGATGTTAGTCAAATTTGTATCATTGAATGGTGTTGATGTCTGAGAACTTTATTCTTCTGTCTTTATTACTATAAGAACCTGTAATTTAAATGTACTTCAACAGCCTCTTAATGCTTTAAAATATCTACCTTTATAGGCAAAGTAGTTTGTTACCCTCTGTCGAGCCTCTCAATAAATGTGGCAGTTTTTATCCCCACTTAACAGATGAAGAACTACAGTCCCAGAGTATATGTCATTTGTCCAACATAAAGGAACAGTTAGTGACAGACTCAGGAGTGGAGTCCATACCTCTTGAGTCAAAGTACTCCTTGGAACTTTCTAATTAAGAAACAACAACAGGTTGTTGTTTTTCCCTCAGGTTAAAATACTCCAAGCTACTGGGTTGCCACAGCATCTGTCCCACTTTGTATTCTGCAAATACAACTTCTGGGATCAACAGGAGCCAGTAATTGTTGCACCTGAAGTAGATACGTCATCCTCCCCTGTCAGCAAGGAACCTCAGTGCATGGTTGTCTTTGATCATTCTAATGTAAGTTTGCTTTTCAGACTTTGTCAAATTTTAAATTACTTACCAAAAAACAAAACGAGAAATGAATCTTATTCTTCAAATAATCAGATACTAATATATGTCTTGGAGCAGAGTTTCTTAAAATAGGTTTGGAATCAATAACTAAAGTGTTAATACATTCAGCTCCTTCAAAATCAAAAGTGAACTTTTCTGTGAATATGTACGTTTATATGTGTGTGCTCACCTCTAAACAGTCTCCATATTTTGTATTAGATTACTAGAGAATTGTTATCTAAAGAGGGTAAGAAACTAGTGTTACAGAGAAATCAAAGGTAGAAAACAGAAGTACTGAAATTATTGAGCACCTAATGCCGTGCTAAGCACTTTATGCTATTCTTTAATTTGATCTGTATCACAGTTGTTTTTGATGATAGTTCTTTTTTTTCTGCTGAAGGAACTAGTTCAGAGAGGTCAGTTTGCCCGAGGTTACATGGCTAGTAATTAGTAAAGCCAGGAGTCTCAGGTTTCAATGTTTTTTTTTACTAGATCTCACTTGATTCATGTCATTTTTTTTCAAGAGAGTTAAAGCATTTTAAAGATAGACATATTGAGAGACAGAGACACAGAGAAGATTCAATGACTTTCTTTAATAAATTATTTTAGAATTTAATCCTTATTAGTCCAAAAACCTGTCTCATATCCAGTTTTAAATATCTTGGTACAAGCTCATTTTCTCTATTTTTTTCTTTTTGTAAATATGGACATGTTGGGAGAATTTTTTTTTAATTATGTGACTTTTTTGCCGTGATGGTCATTATGTCCTTTGTCTCTTATTATTGGAGGTAGCTTCCTAAAAACTGGAAAATATTTTTTTCCAACACTGCTACATTATTACATGTACTAATGTTTATATCAAGACATTGTAGATCATTGTTGTAATACTTAATATAGTTATTATACTTTTAAAAATACTGTTTTTAAATTATATTGCTAACAAAATAGAATGTAATGCTGGCCTCACATAATAGACTTTCAAGGTGAAAAGTTAAAAAAAAAGTCGAAGTCATAATATAGCTTTTTTTGAAGTCAAGAACCTTAGGCTATCATAGCATTCATTATGGATGCTAGATGATAGTTCTATTCTATAACTAAAGCTTTCTGTTTTCTATTTCTTTCCTCCATGAGTAAGTATATGAGGTCGGATATAAGTAATCATAAGGTTTCCAGAAAATATTTTCTGTAATTAACTATTTTCTTTCAGGAGTTTTCTGTTAACATAACTGAGGACTTTACTGAGCATCTTTCAGAGGGGGCATTGGCAATTGAAGTATATGGCCATAAGATGACTGATCCTCGGAAAAACCCAGCCCTGTGGGATTTGGGAATTATACAAGCAAAAACACGTAGTCTCCGGGACAGGTGAATTTTAGATATCTATCTGGTTCCAATTATAATAATAAAAAAAAAAGTTGAATGCTGCCATTTATAAAGGTTACTATATCCTGAACATTACCAGTATCCCAGAAATAGGTGGTGTTGTCAACAGGGTACTAATAGCATGGCTAAACTTCTTTAGGGAAGTGAACTTTGAAGAGTGATGGAAGGAAGTTAAACATGTAAGTATTTAAGAAAACAGTGTAAAGTGAATTTTTTAGAGAAGAAGTAGCTTATCATTTTGAATTACTTCTAGTTAATCACCTGTAGAGAGAATTGATCAAGATCTACTCTGGTATTCAAGTTTACTTACTTTGTCTTTAGTTCACAGCTCTTTTCAAGTGGCATCACTGATGAAAGCCTTGTCAAGCAGGATTTTGTTCGAATTAAGAGAAGGAGACAGAAATATCATATTTTTAGTTTTTTTTATATCTAATCGTAAGAGAACCAGATTTATATATCTTTTTGCATTTAGAGAGTGTTTTAGTAGGTACTAAACTAGAAGTTGAGAATTTTTTCTTGATTTTCATATTGAGCTAATGAAAAATACTTGTAAAGTCATTAAAGCATGCAGTGCTACCTAAGTTTATCTATGGATATTTACTGTACTAGCTTCTGTACATGTAATTAAAATGTTTAGATTTTTGAGTAACTGCTTTGAAATAGATTTATAATTATATCCTTTTGAAAAAATAAATAAGCCATTTCTAGTTATGATACTAAGTTTTTTTAACTTTGATTTTAACTAAATTTGCCAGTATGTACTTGATTATTGCCCATTGGACTGCGCATAAGTGTAGTCTACTGACTTATTCTCTTTGGAAATCTTTGTTATTGTTAATTCTAATGTGTAGGGTCCCAAGCTGTCTTTTTTTAGAGAAATTTTATTCTTTGAGATATGGTTATTGTTTGCATATTATGGTGTTCTGATAATACCTGTTGTCTAAATATAGCACATAATGAAATAGAAATGTATGGTATATGATTTTCCAAGAACTTTATCTGCTTCCTAGATGGAGTGAAGTCACCAGGAAAGTAGAATTCTGGGTTCAAATCCTAGAACAGAATGAGAATGGTGAATACTGCCCTGTAGAAGTGATTTCTGCCAAGGATGTACCAACAGGTGGTATCTTCCAGCTCCGGCAGGTAACAAAATTATGACTGTTACCATTTGTATGTTAAATTATTTCATACTAGAAAGCTTAATAATGGATTTCTTTTAGCAGAAACGTCAATGATAATGAAATCTAGACTGGCCAAGTCTATTGCTTGTATTAAAATTGTCTCCTACTACATGTGCATTTTTTCATTTTCAAAAATATTACTATTTATAATATTTTTTGTTTTTTTAATAATATTTTAAAACCAACTCTGTTAAGATTAAGTGAGAAAAAAGATAGGCATTATAAAAACAACTTAGAATTGAATTGAATTGTAGAAAATAAAACACACATATCAGACAGCGTTACAACATTTATTAAGACAAGGAGAAGCAGTGTGACTTGGTAGGAGGAAAAAGGACTTCAGAGTCCAACATGCTTAGATTCAGTTCTGGCTTTACCACTGTAATGTGGAGAAGATAATACCTACTTCATAGGATTAGTGTGAGAATTAAGAGAAATACTATCTATGTATAAAGCACAGTATTTGAGACATAGGAGGTATTAAATAAATGTAAGCTAGTTAGATATGTAAACATGCCAGAGGTTACAGCAGAAAAAGATCTGGGAATCATAACCACAGGCAGATTGTGATTTGTCAGTGTCTGTGTTGCCAACTAACAATGATGGGGAAAATCTTACTTAGTACTGTTCAGTGGACTTTTCATACGTGATTTGGAAATACTCTTTTCAGCTATACTTTGCATTAATCCAAACTTTAGTAGAATATTGTGTACTATAGTTCTCTTCATCCTTTAAAACAATAGTAAAATAGAAGAAAAGCTCTAGAAAAGAAATATTAAAGGCATCCGAAGCAAAAGATGAGGAAGAGTTAAAGCAAAGAGAAAATTTGCTTAAATATTTAAGTTTCTGAAAACTTTAGGAAGAGGATAATAAAGACCTGCTTTGAACACATAAATGGAAGAAAATTAATTTCAGCAAATTCATTTATGTATCTTGGCAAGGAACTAAAAGCAAAAGGAAATTTGTTTAAAGCCTGAGATATATACATAAAATAGAATTCTTAAGGGTGTGACGAACATCTTTTTCTGGACATCTATTAAATTTATATGTCTTCCTTGGATGACTTAGAAATCCATCTACTGGAAGGTAAGACCAGAAAAATTTCTGTGGTTTAGTGTAAAGTGGATATTTAAGTATTTGTCAGACTTCTTACAGTCTGTACTCAAAGTGTTCAAAGATTTGTTGGGCTTATCAGAAAAGGCTTTTTTGAAGAATGTGAATCTACACCTGGATACTGAAAGAATCGGTGCCAGGGCTAGAAAGGTATTTCATATACAGATGACAAATATAATGACACAAAGGCTGGAATTAGGTAATTTTAGGTAGAAAGTAACATATAGGAAGAGCTGAAAAGCAGAAAAAGAAGAGGTCAGAGAAGCATGTGGTAGCTAGTTAATGAGGGCCTTGAATGCTACATTCATTTGAATTTAATGTTTGAAAATTAGGACCTACTGTTCTTGAACAAGAAAGTGTCAGAATAAAACTGATATATTTATTCTACAAGTATTTATTGAGTCACGTATAATGTGACAGTCACTGTGCAAAGCTTTAGGCCTGTGATGGGTAAGATAGTTTTTTTGTCTCGGAGCTTAGAGGCTAGTGGAAGAGACTGACTTTAATTAAATAATCCCATAAATAAATGTAAAAATACAGCTGTGAAGTGTATTACATTATGAAAATTTACAATGAGGAGATTTGACCTAGCAGGCTTTCCTGGGGGAGCAACAATGAGCTAAAATCTGAGAGATGAATAGGAGTTAACTGGACAAACTCGAGAGTGAGTATACAGAGACAGAGCATGTACAGAGGCTTATGTGGGGAACTTAGAGAAACTTTTGTGGCTGGGCTGAGTGAGCACATGCAAAGGGAGGGTTCCAAACAAAGCTGAAAGAGGCAGGTAAATTGCATAGGGCTTTGCAGGTCTTACAGACATTTGTATTTCTCAGAAGTCACCTGTTTTTAACCACATTTTTGTGTTTTTCACGACATCAAGAATGTGGTGAAACCCATACATGTTGTGCACTACAGATTAGTAAGTAAACACAATTAAGCCTGTTCGTACCTTGCTTACTGGTTAATCTACCCCTGGGTAGAGAACATATTGAAGGGGAGCAAAAATGGTTACGGGCGAACCAGTAAAAAACTAGCATGGCACCTAACCTAGTCTGGACTATGGTCGTGGTTAAAGAAGAGATGGAGATAAATACACGTTGAAAGATATTTAAAAGGTAAACTCTCTAGAATTGGTGATGGACTGGAGTGAGGGAGGCACTATGATTGCACAGCTGGTAGTGCCATTCCTTGGGACAGCACCACTGGAAGAGGCCAGATTTGGGAAGAACATGAATTCACTTTTGATTATATTGAATTCAAGGAACCTTTGAGACATCCAAAAAGAGATATTCTAAGTCTGGACTTCAATAACAAGGTCTGGGTTGGAAATAAAAATGCATGAGTTATCCGTATAACTGTAATTTAAACTAGGATGAAGGTGAGATTATCGAGAGGGAAAGAGCATAGTGTGAGAAGGAAAGAGTATTTAAAACTCAGAGTTGAGTAACCCCAGCACTTGTGATTAAGTAGAGGTAGCTGAGCCTGCAAAGAATACTAGAGAATAAGGAGGTGTAGACATCAAAGAGGAAAATCAGGAACCAGCTTATGTCAAGGGCCAAGTGTTTGATGGGGTCAAGCAAAATAATTTTTCTAAATTTGAACAGCTGTACATTTAATGTTAGAAACACTTGGCATCACTGTGATATATGGTACTTTGGAAAACTACAACGTACTTTTAGATGTCATCTAGACCTACCACCTGGAAATGATAAAACTATGGTTTCAGTTATCTGCCAAAGGTCACACAAGTTGTTACTGACAAAGCTGGAATTAGAATCCATGGACCATAACTGCTATTAGATTTAACTATATGAAATTGCTATTTTTGTGGGTAAAAAATGACCAAACATTAGCAGTTACAAGAGGGTCAATCTAATAGTTTCAGTATACTTTTCAAAGTTTTTCTGTGGAACATTAAGCCAGTCCAGGATTCTTTTTCTCTTTTTCCCTCTCCTTATCCTGGAACTGCCCCCAAAGTTCATACTTCACCCATCACACTTAGACACACATTCAAAACAGGTCACTTTCTGTCTTAGGCAAAATAAACAAAAAGTAGCTACTTGCCATGACTAAACTAGTTTAGGCTATTAAATGTTTTCTGAGGGACTCTCTTCATAAAATATCTGATGCTTGAAAAATACGAAATCAAAAGACATTTGGTAGTCCATCTATTCAAATCTAGCTTGATAGGACCAATCATTGTCTAAGTTGATTTTCTTGATAATGCAAAGCTCTTGGGAACTAAAGTTGTGATAGAAGAGGAGAAGAGTAATTGACTTGAAATTATATATTAAAATTCCATGTTTCAAATTCTGTTCTGGGTTCCTAAAATTTGCAAGCCAATTTTGTTGTCAGTAATCTGGGAATATCTGTAATTTCTCTTTTAAAATATTATTTCATTGTAAATATGTACAGTGTCACATAGTATTTATTCTGAAAATATGCCAAAGAAGGCATATTTTCTGATTAGTTCTTGAATTTGCATTTTGGTTTATAATTATTTAGAAACTAGGACAGTGATTCGAAGATAGTAGTCTTTCTTATTCTGTTTATTTTTAAAAATAGATCATACTGTATGTGCTCTGTTTGGTAATATTCTCTTTAACTTAATATATCATATTTTTATAGCAGTACTTTAATTATTTCATATATGTATCATGGTTATTCAAGTTATCAATATCATATATTTATATCTAATTTTTGTTATTCTTGAGAGTGCTTTGGGATTCCTTAGATTATATCTTTATGTGTATGTATAATTATTTACTTAGAACACACTCCTAGAAATTGAATTTCTGGGTCAAAGGATCCTTATATTTTTAAGACAAATTGCCCTGCAGACAGGTTGTACCAATTTATATTTCCACCAACAGTGTAAGAAATTGCCTGTTTCCTGAATTTGGGGCAGTATTGGAAATTGACTTTGAAAGAAATAATTTCTTGTTTAATAAATGCAAATGAAAGTTTATCATGATTATTTTAATGTATATTTATTTGATTATCAGTGAGTTGATTGGCCAGCTTTTTATATTTTCTTTGTTATACTGCTTGCTTTTAATGTTTTTTTACTGAAAAATGTATAAGCCATGTATTTCTTCTGTGTTCTGACAGCTTGCTTAAAAGGTAAATGATTTTTTCTGATTAATTTTTCAATTTGTATTTTACTATTTGAAATGTGAGATATGATGAGACATTGTCTCCAGATTTAAATGTTTTCACAACATCAGCCAGTAGGGGTCTCTCTAAACCAAATTTTTTGCAAGAAACTGATTTTAAGAAACTCTTAAAATTGTGATTTCAGGGGCAATCCCGGCGAATTCAAGTTGAAGTGAAATCTGTACAGGAATCTGGCACTTTACCACTAATGGAAGAATGTATATTGTCGGTTGGCGTTGGATGTATAAAAGTTAGACCATTCAGGTCCCCCAAAACTCATGAGACTTTCCATGTAAGTTTCTGTGCCTATGTTCTTGTTGAAAGATAAAACCAGAAGAGAGAGTCTTTTGGAACCTCTGAGAAAACTGCCTTCCATGAACAATTCTTTCAGTATATCTTTTCATTTTCTTTTGATACCTTGTGTGTGTGTATTGCATTTGCTCAAAGTCACTGTGGCAGATGGTTGGTTTTTGCTCTGGTACATGGCAAGCTGAGGGTTAAAACATTTCAGCCTTCAGAAACAGTGCCTAATAGTGATTAACCTCCTCAACTTCACTCAGCCCCTCTGCATAAGCCCCCTACTGGTTTATGAAGACTGTTTGCCAGCAGGTGTTTGATTTCCCCTGCTGAGTGGGAGTGTAAACCGAGGCAAAGTATTCTACTGGTTCCTAAAAAGGTCAAATGAGTGTAGTTCACTTTCCTATGAGAAGCTCAAGGTTTTACTCCAAGTCCTATAAAACTAAGAGTGCAGGTGAGAGTAGGTGGGAGATGAAATAGCATACTAATGAAATTAGAAAACAAATACGGAGAAAGATTCAGATTGTTTAGCATAACCTGATTCTTGGATAAATAATTATTTTGTTTCTACATAATATATATTTTTTCATTTTAGGAGGAAGAGGAAGACATGGACAGCTACCAGGTAATTTAGCACTTGCTAGCCTCATCAAATAAAATTGATTAAAGTACTAAATTAAACATTCTTGGATCTTGCTATACTGTTACTTAATAATTATGCAATTAATTTTGATTCAAATACTGCTTTTTCTTAAAACAGAGTGAAGAACAATGCGTGTGGTTTCCTTAAGTACAACCTGTTAGGCATAGAAAGTGTAGTGTGTCTATCCCAAAGAAGTTATATGTGACTGTTATCCTTTACCATACCTGTAGCTCTTTCATTCAGGTTCCGCAAGGATCCACAGCCTCTTCCTTGTACGTTTTCTCTCCTTGAGCAGAGCCACCGTTCTTTTCCCTGTTACACTTGGCTTGTACTGCTCTTTAGTCAAGCTAAGCCCCCTAGGTATTTTCCATACTTTAAGGCACATCTCCCTGGAGTCATATACATGTTCTTGTTTTGTTTTGTTTTTCCTTTCCCTTTTCCTAATCTCCTACAAGATTTTGTTTATGTGCATTAAATTTTATCTTGTTAGTCTTGGCTCGTCCTTTAGGACTGTCAGAGCTCTTTGAATCCTGATTATGTCACCCAGTGTAGTCACTCTCCTGGTTTTGTATCATTCTAATTTGATAAAAATGTCTGCCTTCCTATAAGTTACTAATACAAATACTGTATCAGATAGGGTTAAATACAGAGTCCTATGGCACAACAATAGAGACTTCATTTTAAGCTGACGTTATTCCATTACTTACTGTTCTTTGAATGTGATGTTTTAGTCATCCGTGATTTCACGTAAGTATATCCATTGCACTTTTCTCCATCTTATCCATGAGAATGTCATAATCTATTTGGTCAAGTGCCTTAGTGAAATCCAGATACACTATATCTGCAGCATTCCACTGACCTACCCAGTCTTATAACTCTATTAAAAAAGGAAATGAGGTAAAATTGGCATGCATTCGGGTGTTGACTGGTAGAGTTGTTGGTCTGTCAGTAACATACATGCACACACACAGACACACACCCTGCAAAAAAAGAAAAAAAAAGAGAAGCATTTACATGACACGTGGAGAGAATAGTGAAACACATTGAAAACAGTAGGTAAGAAATTTGAAAAATGCTTATAGTGGTTCTAAGGGATCTACATTAAAAGATTATCGTGTACTATTTGTGCTTTTTATCCAGCAAAGACACCTATTAGAAAATCTTAGTTGCAAGTGATTGGGACCATTAGAAATAAAACTGGTTCTGGGTACCAGAGAATGCCCATTCAGAAACAGTCTTACTCTAGAAAATAATGTTTTAAATCCTAAGAGTTTCTGTTCTGAATTATGGTTGGAGTCAACTGGTGGTAATAATGAAGAAATTACTGTATAATAGTTAACATTTTTGAAGCATGTTAGAGTAGGATACAGCGTAAGTTTCAGATATATTGTCTTGGCATTGTATTTAGTATGATTTACCATTTTTTCTTCCAGGACAGGGATTTAGAGAGACTACGTAGAAAATGGCTGAATGCATTAACAAAACGTCAGGAGTACTTAGATCAGCAACTGCAAAAGCTTGTCAGCAAACATGGTAGGAAAACCAAGTTGAATATTTTCCTCCCTTCCTAATCAGTAGATAATTAATCCCCATTTGCAGCCACATAAATTAGAGTCAGATAAACACGTGAATAATGGGATTGGCAAGAGCATATAAATGTTACTCTTTTGTGTCATAGCTTTTCAACAGAACATTTATTTATCCATTTGTTATAATATTTTCATGTAGCCACCTACCCCCAACAAAGAAGAAGACAACATTGTTCCTCAAAAATAAGAAATGTGCTAATGTTTCTTAGCCAAAGCGCTTGAGTCCTCTGACTCTGGAACAAATCATTCTTTTGTTATTCCACTCTAGGCTTTCCATGAACTAAGATGATCTCTCTGAGAGAGTACACCTAATTTCTTCAGCTTATAGTTAGCTGGAAATTTTTTCCTAGAGATTACCAATTTTTGGTAATAGACAAGTATTAAGTTTCCAGTAAGCCCTCATCAACCAAAAACTGAAATACAGTTTTTACTTAGGATGAAAGTATAAAGAGCAAATGAGATCTCTGTACTTGATTCCCATTCCTTATGTTCTAGATAAAACTGAGGATGATGCTGACCGTGAAGCTCAACTTCTAGAGATGAGGCTGACTCTGACTGAGGAAAGGAATGCGGTAATGGTCCCCTCTGCTGGCAGTGGAATTCCAGGGGCCCCAGCAGAATGGTATGAACACTACAGTATCTCTTTTGAAATTCTAAATAAATTGCCTGCTTTCAATATGAATTTTGCTTGTGCAAATTTTACCTGTTCTTGGGAGATTTGTGATAGCATATGGGGAAAAAGTTATTTGAATTAGAGGAACTGTTAAATTATTTTCATGAGTTGAATAACTGAGGCCTAAAACAGCATTTATTAAATAATATTGTTATTGGTCAGAGTAATTAAGATTTCTGAGAATCTGAATCGATATTTAGTACCACTGCACTTACATTAAGAAAAAAGTTAGTATGTGAATTACTTGGGGTCAATCCCTTAAAAGACTTTTCTGTCACAATAAAATTACATCTCCGGGAGTTCTTGGGTTTGTGCTAATTTATACTGTACTGTCAGCAAATATTCTATGCCACTTTATAGATGTTAAAAATAGTAAATTAAGCCACATGGAGCCCAAGTATATAATTTATTAGAAAGTAAATTTAAACAAGGGGACTTCAATTATAAACAGGTTTATGTATCTTATAAGACTAAGTTCTAGTATCAGAGAATATGATAATTATGCATAAAAGCACTGGTGAAAAGAAGCAGTTACAGCAAGCTCTTTTTGCATCTCTAATGTTAAATTTTAGTAAAACCAATAACTACAGTTATTACTGACCTGACCTAAATATCTCTGAATGTGTATTAGGGCTATGTGCTGAGATACATCCTGCTGAGACAGTCTGCTTTATTGGAGATGCCATTTATTCTTTGTGTTTTAGGACTCCAGTGCCTGGGATGGAAACACACATTCCTGTTATATTCCTTGACTTAAATGGTAAGTTATGAGGTATTTTTTGAAGGGTTACCTCTTCTGACAAATCACTGTCTAAACTAATAATAAAGTGTGTAGTTAGGCAATTCTGTAATCTAAAATTAGAGTCAATTTTATGTGTGCCTAAATAGTCTGATGCTTGACAAAGAATGAACTTTTTAAAAAGTAATATTTGTATAATAGATGTGTTTCATCATGATGCCTTCTCACATTTCATTGCTACAATGACAGTGCTATGTATGCTTGGTTCTCCCATCAATTTAGGATGATAGTAATATTTTTCTACACTTAAAGTATTTTCTTCTTTAATATTTAGGGAAAGACCTCTCTGGAAAGGACTAATAACTAGTGATACTTATATAGCATGCTTTCTTTTTTGATGTTTTCTTAGCATCATCTAATAAATTTCTCACTTTTTCTGTGAGTTCTTGTGGCATTCATCCCTGCATTGTTTGTTTTTAAATAACTATCATTTTTCTGATCTCCCCCCACCATATGAAATCCTTTGGGTTTAGCTCCCTGGAGGAGAGAAGGTAAAAATGAAAAGGTAGATTAAGAGGTAAAAACAAGTAAAAACTCAGTAGTTAAACTCCTAAAACATCTAAAGATTAATTGTGTATTAAAATTATCCTAAACTGAAAAGCTTGGATATCCTTTGCATTTGTCTTCCACTGAGCTAAAAGTGAGTTATAATAACTGAGGTGTTCGATGTTTTTTGCCACATAGCTTCTTCATACATATGGAAGATTTTACATACACACAGTTAGAGAATAATAGTTAGCCACTTCTACCATCTGTCCACTTCATGGGGTGGGTACTTTTTAAAAATTTATTGCTGCAGGGTGTTATCCTACCATGTTTTTCTCTTGAACCTGACCTATTCTTGTGTTAGTATTCTGAGAATAACCTTAAGTTAAGATCTTGATTTGAAAAGAGGATCAGGACCTTGTTCAGCATAATGAACATTCTTGGTCTGCCCAAATCTACATACTAGAAAAGGTACTATTTATGCCTACTCACAACCCTAAGATGGTTAGGGAGTTGGGAGATTAGCTTGGAATTGAATAACTGGAGTGCCATGGGGCAACCTTCTAGTTTCTAGCTTATGTTGCCGGCCAGTTAATTTATCCTTTTTTGAACTTATCTGTCAGATAACAGAAATCACCCTCCCTTATTTCTCATTTCTTCCCATACCTTTTAAATGGAACAACCTAGAGCAATGCACTAAAATGTAGGGAAATTTGGGCTCTAATTCTATCGTTAACATTTATGGGCTGTGACCTCACGTAATCTCTTGGATGTCTTGGCTTCAGTTGCCTTCCATGTAAAATAAGTCATAAAGGCAGCAGATTGGATAAGATAATTTCTTGAGGCATGTTTTATCTTTGAGATATGTGAGCTATTTAATAGTCATCCTCAGTGTTACATAAGATTTCAGAGCAAAAAACAAATGAAATTTAAAGCAGAAGAATTTTAATAATCCCATTGAAATTCAGCTGATAGAGGTTATCTTTTAAAATCATCTCAGTGTTTGATGGAGCTTCTTTGCTTTTAGCTGATGATTTCAGCTCTCAGGATAATCTTGATGACCCGGAAGCTGGTGGTTGGGATGCTACCCTCACTGGGGAAGAAGAAGAAGAGTTCTTTGAACTGCAAATTGTAAAACAACATGATGCAGAGGTAAGGAAAGCACAACTCTGGAAGATCAGATAAAAAGCAGTTTCATTAACCTTTCCATGAGCACAATAATAATTTCAGTGCTTACATTTCTCAAAATATATAAATGAAGACCTTTCATGATTACTTCTAGAAAGAATGGAATTTGAACATCAGATTACACCCATTGAACTTTTGAGTTCCTGTCTTTGAAAATAACCTGTGTTAGTATTCATAGTTCATATCTCCCTTGGTGCACTCCTAGGTCAAGTGCTTGATTCGGTTCCTCAAGGAGTGGGATATAGAAGTAAATGCTAGTGAGGTTCATAGAGGCTGTGATGGTTAAGATTGTGTGTCACCTTGGCTGGGCCATGGTTCTCCGTGTTTTAATGTGATCACTCCCATGATTGAATATGCTGTGAGTGGCCAATCTGATGGTGGGGGAGTCTCCTTGGGGGTGTGGCCCGCATCTGTGTATAGGCATACATTCTGGCTTTTTGCTCTCGCTGGATCCTGCGGCTGCTTCCTGTCGTCTCATCTCCCGTTCTTGGGACTTGAGCTGTCAGCTTATCTGCCCAACCTGGGATTCGTCGATCTGCACAGCCTGTGAGTGGGAGCCCTGCTCTCCTACCTTCCGATCCTGGGCTTGCCAGCTTCTGCAGCTGTGTGACTTGGGAGAGGCCTCTGCCCTGATCCCCGGACTTGGGATGTTCTAGCCTCTACAATCGCATGAGCTGTTTCCTTGATATAATCTCTCTCTATATATATATTTATACACTTTACTGGTTTTGCTTCTCTAGAGAACCCAGCCTAAGACAGAGGCACAATGACATGATCTTTGGGATTTATTTTGAAATTCTTCAGTGAAGAATTTTTTAAAAAAAGAATAGATGATGCATATGTGGCAAAATCTTGATAATGGTTGAATCTGACTGATGTTTATACAATGGGGGATGTATTCTCAGTTTTAAGTATGTTTGAAACATTATACTACAAAATTTAAAGGAAGGAAAGCTAATGTGATGCACTGAGGACACATCATCACTTACTGCTATTCCTTACTAAAAGACAAAATTTGAGTCTAATAATGAGGAAACAAAAAGACAAGCCCAGTTAAGAAACATTACATAAAACAGTAGGCCTATACCCTTTCAAAATGTCAGTGTCATGAATGACAAAGACTGAGGAACTCTTCTAGGTTATAGTGGAGTAAAGGAAATGACAACTAAATGCAATTTGTGATCATGTTTTGGGACAATTGGAAAGATTTGAATATGGACTCTATATTAGATAACGAGTGTTGTATAGATGTTAAATTTCCTGAGTATGATCATTGTTCTGTGGTTAAGTAAGAGGAAGTTTTTGCTCTTAGAAGATACTTGCTGAACTATTTCGGGATGAAGAGTAATGTGCCTGCACTTTAATGTGGTTCAGCAAACATAATAAACGCGTGTGTGGGTGTGTGTGCGTGCACACGTGTAAATGCAGTGGGAAAGGGAGAGAAGCAAATGTGGCAAAATGTTTACAGTTGGTGGATTTAGAAGAAAAGGGTAGAGGAGTACACTTTTGCAATTTTTCTTCATGTTTGAAAAGTTTTCAAAATGAAAAAAAAAAATAAAAGCAAGCAAGGCAGGAACATTATTTTCTGTACTGCTCAGACTAAGGTGATTGATCAGGCTCATATTTTAGTCTTTTCAGGGCAGTTCTCATAAACCACCTCTGCTGAAGGTGAGATGGTTTCATTGAGAAAGTTTTGTTTTTAATAGAAGAGGGGAAAGTATATTCCTTCTGTCTTCTCTGCAGGTGAAAGCAGAAGCCTCCTGGGACTCTGCAGTACATAATTGCCCTCAGCTCAGTAAAGGCACACCCTCAGATGAGCGAGTATTTCTCATTGTGCGGGTGACAGTCCAACTCAGTCATCCAGCTGAAATGCAGTTGGTACTACGCAAACGGATTTGTGTCACTGTTCATGGCCGGCAGGTGAGTCATTAATCCTAGAGGAAGAAACTACTTTAACCACAGATCCAGCATGAGGGCAGGGCTGCGAAATGATTGCTCTGACCTTCTGTCCAGATACAGTCTGTGAAGCATTGAGCTGTTTTTTTCAAGGTGATTGTTATTGTCCTGTAACGACGCTTGCTTCAGTTCCCTAAAATGTCATCCTGGCTTCATCCTGGACAGTGTGAAATTGTTATACTGATTCTATCATGGCATATTTACAAATTACAGTCATTCTTTTGGGTGTCACAGAGCCCTGTCAAGGAGAAGTTCAGTTTTTGTTTTTGCCTTTTCGTATGAGTCCTGCAAGATGAGAAGATTCACTGGCAGATCAGCTGTTTGTTCATTAACGTTGTACTTCTTACCCTGCCCTTTTCATTCCTTTCTTTCCTTTCAGGCATCTCTGTTAATTCTTTGATTCTTATATTTGGAGAATGAACTCTGTCAAGTGAGTTCAGGATAAAAAGATGAATAAGAGCTAGTTCTTATGTTTATAGAGCCAAAGTCTATGTGCATATGTTAGATACATAAACAACTACTCCTCTATGTGTGATAAGTGCTACAGTGTAGGTACACACAAAGAACAGTGACACTACAGGTGAGAGAATGATGAATTTGCACTGAGGAAGCCAGGGAAGGTTTTAGAGAGGAGGGTAGCATTTGAGCTGGTAGTTTAAAGACAAGTGGAGTTTGATGGGCAGAACAGGAGGAGAGGTATTCCATGGAGAGGAGGAAATAACATGCAGAGACAGTGAAGAAGGAAAGGACATGGCTGGTTTGGGGAACAGTGAGATACATAGCGTGACATAGATGTGCTGCATATGCCAAAGAACGTGGCTGTAAACCTAGTTGCAGCTAGATTATGTAGGACATTATGCCATATGAAGGAGTTTGGTAGAAAACTTGTAGGTGAAGATCTAAAATATAGGTGGTTCTGTAAATACAAGGATTTGAGAGGTTTATTCTAAGAGTTTAACTGTCTTACTTCACTTTTTTGAGACATTCTCAATACACTGAATAGAACCAGTACAGATGAAAATAAATCTTTTCATTTAAAAGAGCTTAGTCATGGCTGACAGACTCTTAGATGTAATCTCCAGCCCTAAAAATTAATCTTTAGTTCTAGATATCATGCTGATATCAATCTTTGAGATGAAGACTGGTCTCAATGCTGTTAAAATTACAGCTCTTTAGCTTGGTAATCCAACATCAATAAAATCCAGGTCATAGGGTTAGCTATAGATGTATACGGTGCATCTCCCATTCATTCTCTCTGTCTCTCCTTTCCTGTTAAGTCTGGAAGGAATTGAAAAAGACCCGCAGCTCATGAGGAGCATTTAAAGAGTTATTTTCCAATTTAGAATTAGAGATCCTGATTGCTAGGCACTGGGACCTATTGGCAAAAGTGCCATTCCTACGGAATCATTACCAGAGAGTCACCAAGCTTCTACCGTTTTTTTTGTTTTTTTTTTTTTGATTGTGGGAGAAAGGAGTTGTCAGTTATTTTCCCTGGTTGAAATGATTTGGAAGTATTTTAGGGCACACCATTTTCCCTCCCAGTTTCAGATATTACATTCCTAAAATTGTTTCTCTGCAGTAAGAACAGGGACTTTCTTATCACCATAATACATCCAAGTAAGCCTTACTAGTTCTACACATACAGAAAATAAGAAAGTAAGATAATAATAGCTTTTATACCTCCTCCAATCACCCATGTAAAAAACCTGTAGCTATATTTCAGTCAGTGTAATTGTCAATAGCTCATTGCACCACTTAAGTCGAGAGAGTAATTTGATATATTTGCATTCTCAGAGTCTAAAATCTTTTAAAAAATTAACTAAAGATCACTGAATGGGAAAGATATCATTGCTAAGAATGTGAAGTTATATATTTCTTAATTCAAAGAGCTTGATTTTTCTATTTTTCCTTTGGGGGTTTTCACGTATTTCTGACTTTTCTTTTGCATGGGGAAGAAGGTTTAGTGCCAATTTAATATTCTCTTCTTTATTCACCAACTGTATTCTGTCCTCATCCCTGCTCTCTTCAACCTCTACAGGATGTTCAGTCTTAGCAGCATCTTCAAATGAGTCATCTGTGCATTAATTCAACAGTTCAATTCTTAACTGTGCAGAGAGCACAGTCAGCATAAACAATGACCATGCACTCTTAAATCATTCTTCATAATGATCCTGCTTTGGTCGAGAATTTAATGCCTCAACTTGTCGATATTCGTGGTACGAGATGTCCACTGTGCTGCCAAAAAAAAAAAGGAAAGTGTAAGAGTCACCAGTCCTTGCTTGTGTCTTAACTTAGAAGGTCATTTTATTGTATAGAAGTCAATAGTCTTATTTCTCTAGCATTTAAGCAGAGTTTAACTAAATGTCTTGTGTCAGTTTCCAGAATTTAGGGTCTGTAGTTTTCATATATTGGTATAGGTCCTATCTACCACACACTTCAGGCATCTAATAAATTGAGGAAACTGTATTTGGTGCTTTGGATTTCTCTTGCTTATATTGGAAAGATGCTCTCATTTTCTTTTGGTTAGAACTTGTGAATGTAAACACAGTTTTTGAGGTGGAAAACTGTATCTTCTGTTTTGTTTTTCTTTAGGGTTTTGCTCAGAGCCTTCTAAAAAAGATGTCCCATCGAAGTTCTATTCCTGGCTGTGGAGTCACTTTTGAAATTGTTTCCAATATTCCAGAGGTGAAGTACCATATGATATGTGAATATACTTAAAGTGTTTACTTAAAAAGAGCTAACTCCCTGAAAAGTCACCTACCCAGGAAATATTTATTAAATTAAAATATGTATTTAGAAAAATGGTGTAGATTTTCATAATCACTTCCTCTAATCTTAACTCCTTTGACAGTAAAATATACTTGTGGCTTTAAAACCCTAGTTTTAGTATTTCATTAGAGAAGAACACTTTTCACTCATGGAAAAAGTTAATAAGATGATAATATTGTAACCCAAGAAGGGAGGCTGAATAATATATAGATTAACTGCTTCATTTTGAAGTCAAACAGAAATCTTGCTTCTGTTACTTATTAGTGAAGTGAACTTGGCTAAGTTACTTAGAGCCTAAATTTTGTCATTTGTCAAACGGGGTTAATAATAGCTTCTGCACAGGACTGTCTTTTACAAAAGACAGTGTGTATGAATTGTTCTATATGTACTGGACAATAAACTATAGTTACCATTATTATTATTACTATAGTAGTTATTTATTTTTATTTCTTTCTGAACTAATAGAGATATCCATAGGAATCAGACAAATGGAGTTCAAAATACCCTGATAGAAGCTTTGTTGGAGGATGTGGCTTAGATTTGCTTCCTGGTGTTTAATCCCTGGATTAGACAGATTTATCCACCCAGTTACTGACACAACTGGGTAATGGAGGCTTCTTGCTTCACGAAGGAAAAGTGACGGTCCTAAGGAAGGGACTCTGAAAAAGAAGAGCAGCTCCTTACACTCAGGATCAGAAAGAGAGGAATAAGTGAGGAGGTGGGGACTGCACTTTTCTGGGAGAGGCAAAACAGATTATGAGACATGGAGAGGATCACTCCTTCCCAACCATAGCACTGTCAACATCATTGATTCTCTTCTCAAATGGGCTTAATATTTGTTGATTGATTCATTCGAGCATTTGAACAATAGATAGATAGTATATATTTTTAATACAGAGATCAGTGTTTGGAAAGGTAAAAAGTAAATCACACAGTGCTTAGGTTTTGTTTTAGATCTCTTATATTTCAAAACACTTTTTGTTTGAAATAATAACTAGTTTTTTCCTGGATCTTCAAAGTGTTAGACTTCATATAGTAAAAATGAACTATGTAAATATTTAATTTAGAGCCTACTGAACATTTAAAAAATGAAGGCTGTTTTCAAAGTTGGACTAGCTATAAAATCTTGCATCTGTAATAGATTACTCTGTAATAGATTATTCTGTGTTGTTCATTCCCTCTTGTTTGTAAGCATTCTTATATGTTCTCTTCTGTATCTAAACATTTTGTATGTTGTTCTGGTTGTTTCAGATCTTAACTCTATAAATGGTTTAAATGCAGTGAAACAGTGGCAGCTACAACTTTTTTTTATTCTCTACCTTCCCTGCCTTTCTCTTTCCTCTTCTTTTCCCTCTCCTTTCCTACTTGTAATTTTCTTGTCCTCTTAAAAGTGTTTTTATTCTTCAGATGGTATGGTTTTCAAATGGAGAAAATGTGGGGGGGAACAGCTTAAAGATAAACATGTAACATCATTTGATTGGAATACCTGGTAATAATTAGCCAAGCATCTAAGTTGACAGACATTTTCACATTATCTGATTCTACTGATAAGGAAAAGGAAAAGTGAAACTTCTGTAGTATAAGGACTAGACTTGTTTTGTAAACAAAGTAAAAAGATCCCTTAGTAAATAAGCTAGGTTTCATCCTGAAAAAGCCCCCAAAATTTCTTTGTGTTCCGTATAGCAGAAGCTATTAGGGTGTGATGGCAAGAAGAAGTGGTGATAAGTGAGAGAGCAACAAGAGACAGTTTCTCTCTCTCTCCTTATAAAATAAAGATACTGTGTTTGTTCTGTTCTGATACCCATGGTATTTTGTGTTAGGTAGTGGAAAGAATATACTCTTAACATGAGGCAGGAAACCTAAGTTCTAGTCTTGCCCCTTTTGCTAGTTATGTGGCTGCCTTCTTTCATCATCCATAAAATGAGGATGATTCCTTCTTTTCAGGATTGTTACAAAGCTCAAATGAATTACTGTAATTGACAAAGTTTTCTGAATTTTAAACCATTTTATGAATTCTTTCATGTTTTAGTTATTCTAAGAATCATTTAAATTTTTTAAAATATTTTTGAAATTGGAATGTGTTTTATAATTGATGGTATCTTAAAATTAGGCAGAATTTTTTTTAATCTCGGTAGTATATAAAATAATATTTTGTCTTACAATTATTGGCATCTTAAAATGCAGTAGAATATGGATATATGTTTTGTAGTTTTTGACATTATTATAACAAATTCACTAGTGAATAAAATACCTGATTTTTCCTGAGCAGAGTAATTTATTATGAACCAAGTTTGCTTAAAATGATTAAATACATTAATAAAGACCCTCTCTGACTTGTGAATATCCCGTATATATGCATTTATATGCGTGGCCAGCCCATACCAGAGGAGAAGGGGGCTGGGTTCTACTGGAAAGCACAGTGAGTGAGAATTTGCCTAGATAGTTCTCTTCTTGATTTGCTCTGGGCCTCTGGCCATTGCTACTCCAGATTTGAGGGTAAGGACCAGTTTTAGAAGCTGCCACATTTTGAATATGTAGTCCAGGGTAGGCTGCTTAGTAGCTGGGATTGAAACCTAGCCTTTATTATCATTCCTAGTTTCCATACCTGTATTTACTTCCTACTAGGATTGTTTGGATTCTACCCTTATCTGCCTGGTCAACCTAGCTTCTCATCCCTGTCTTTGGCCCCTTAAGAGTTCCAGTGAGGAGATATGTTCCTGAATCATTGTTATTATGGTGATTATATTTCTGGCTAGCTCACAAAAGCCTTTCTACCAAGTAATATTTTTGCTTGCAACGAAAATGCTTTTGTTTGCAGTGAAAATAAAGTGGAGAACTCCTTTGTGGAGAATATGCTGTGTTTCAGCTAAGCATTAACTAGTCTGTTAAATTAACCAAGAAACCTAACCATCATTTTCACCATTATTTCTGTGGGAAAATGCATTTGGGTTCCAAAGATGACTTTAAAATGGAGTTTTTGGAATACATTTTGTTAGTTGCAGAACTTTGTGTGTGTGTGTTCTTATATAGATCACAAAGCTTTTATACCATTTTTCATCTATAAATTACTTAATTTTAATGTACAACATTCCATTCTTCAGGATGCCCAGGGAGTCGAGGAACGAGAAGCATTAGCAAGAATGGCAGCTAACGTTGAAAACCCAGCTTCTGCTGACTCAGAGGCTTATATTGAAAAATACCTCAGAAGTGTGCTGGCTGTGGAAAATCTTCTTACTTTAGATCGTCTTCGCCAGGTCTGCCAATAAAGCTGGTAGCAGTAGTAATAACCCAGCCTAATTCTGTGTTTGGCTTTCTGTAATTTGCAGTATTGTTACGTCTAAACTTTCGAGGAGTTTGTTTAAATGGAGCCCATTAATTTAGATTAAATTTCTTGCCTGTTAAATCTTTAAAGATAAAAAGCTATATTTGGAACGTTACTTTTTCCAAGACATTAAATGTTATCTAGTTGTCTTGAAGTAATGGAAGAAAATATTTAATTCTTGATAGATAAAGAATTATTTAAAAATTCCTTGATATTGGGCAGTAAGGCTGCTGAAGAAATGTGTAGTAATGAGGCAGAATGGGCCTTTCTTTGTGTAACTGGACATACCTGTTATAGCCTTAGAGTAGATTTCTAGAAGGGGATAATAGGAATGTCAGTAGTAAACAAAATCTTTAGAGAAATCTTAAACTTTTCTTTACCTACCAATATCAAGGCTTTTTTCCAAAGATACTAATAAAAAAATTAAAGTGAATTGTCTGATTTTCACTATTTTCCTCTTGGATCCTGGTGCTGACTTTTGGCCAATTTCAAAGAGGCAGGCAATAGATAGGACAAGATAAAGAAAAAAATGATCTAGCTTGTCACCTGTGTAGTTAATTTTCAGTAATCAAGTATGACTGTAGTTGGGTCATTCTGTCATGTGAAGTAATGGTCATTATTTAAACAACTAGGAATATGTATGCATAGATGGTAGATCAAAGCCTGCTTTAGATAGTATTCCTTTTGGAGTGTGTCTCTAATATGTATTTTCCCTCTGTATATTATCTGATTCATAGGAAGTTGCAGTGAAGGAACAGTTAACAGGAAAAGGGAAATTGAGTAGGAGGAGTATTAGCTCTCCAAATGTCAACAGAGTGAGTACTCAGAATCGCAATTCTTTGTTCTGCCTTCTATCCCCTTTCTCTCTTCTTGGATAACTCTTCCCCACCCTTTAAATCATATCTTAGAAGTAATTTCCTTCCCTGGACTCATATAATTGCCTCTGTTCTTTAACCATGTAGCATGCTTTGCATACCTCTGTCAATGTTCTTATTAATATTATAAGGAAAATAACCACTTAAGTATCTTTCAAATGTTTCTCGTGTATCTTTATGTCACCAGTGCCTAACAGAGATGGTAGGTGCTCATTGGATGTTTGTACCTTTCATTTTGTTTGAACTAAAGCAAAACTAGCCAAGTGCCAGGGGCAAGCCATGTAAATGTTCTGGACTTAATTTATCATTTTAAGTTGAGGAAAAGTCTGGACTAAGTTTGCAAATTCAGTTGCTTACAGGCCTAGCAGGTAACATAAATGAGTAAAGTAGAGGCTTAGTTCATAACAGTGTCTTAAGTTTGCTTTTTTTTTTAAACATAGATATGTCTAATGTGCATATTAAACATAGGAATAATTATTCTCAAAGAAATATGTTCCTGGTCCTCTTGATTTATCTCGCCTTTCCTCACTTTTGATAAGGATGTGGTTATGAGAAATACTACACCTTTGTCTTAACTTTACACCAAGAAAAACCACAATGCAAGCAAGCATTGTAATAAAGAGCAGCTGACCGTTAGCATTGGTGTTTGACGATAGCAAGTAACAGGAAGTACATCAAACTGGAGAGCACATGTGGTCTCTGACTGAAACTATTGAGTAACATCACTAATGATCTCATACTGAAAGATTGGGAACATTCTTAGATATTAAGAAATACCACTTTAATTCAAGGTAAAATATCTTCTCATTCCTTTGGAAAATTACATATTAAAATGTATGTTGATATATGATGCAGAGATTTAGTATTCAGAATTCTGTGGTTTAAAATAAATAGCTTGTGAGTATGCATTTGCTACAGATACAGAGAGGAAGGAATGTTAAGATCAGTACATGGTAAAATAACCAGTAACCTGGGATCCTTTCAGCTGGAGCTGTGGTGCTGCAGTGGTTAAGAGCTACAGCTACTAACGAAAATGTCGGCAGTTTGAATCCACCAGGTACTCCTTGGAAACCCTATGAAGCAGTTCTACTCTGTCTTGTGGGGTCTGTTATGAGTCGGAATCGACTAGACAGCAACTGGTTTGGTTTTTTGGTTTTGGGATCCTTTCAATAGGTGGGAACAAACAAATGAAATATCCCTTTTTTTTCTTCAGTTGTCTGGAAGCCGACAAGATCTTACACCGTCATACAGTCTAGGCAGCAACAAGGTAAGTATTTATAACCATTTTCTACCAGTTTTAGGCCTAGTTCACGTTTGATTTCTCTTCTCAAATATCATATATTATGTTTGTATACAAAAATTTCTCCCGCTTTTCTGTACTCTGAAATATTCGCAAGTGTTTACTGTTTATTTTTTATCTTCCAGTTAAGATAAGGTTTTACTAGACATTTTTATGATTAGGACTAAAAACCAATTTTATTACTAAAGTTCCTATTTTAGTCAAAAATCTTCTTCATATTTGTTTCAGAAAAGGAACTTCAAATCAGATTTTTTAATAGTGAAATATTGATGTAATGATTGAAAATGTATGAGGAATAAGAAGATGATGCCTAAAAGTTAATATTATTTATTAGAAGCAAGGAAGATAAGGGAACAGAGGCTTTGTTAGCAGGAATTTTTTATTTACTTGCTAATGTAGCTTTTCCCCATTTAACAGAGTTCTAAGCATAGATAATTAATTGTTATTTACTTAAAAGAATAGCATTTCTTGAAACTGTTGTAACTGGTTGTCACATGTCACAGTTTTGTGCCTGCCATTTTTGAGTGGCCTGGTTACCCTAGTATGTGTGATAGAGGTTGCTGTATCAACTGTGTGCAAAATTCTCTGTATTGGTATCTTAACCTTTGAGGATATTAATAGTGAACAATGTCATATAAAATGGCAAGATATCAGGGATTTATTTGAAAATAATCCCAATTGAGGGAGGAATAGAGGTATAAATAAAACCAAATTGGCTATTTAATGATAATTATTAAAACTGAAGGAGTTTACTGTACTACTCTTAGTTTTTCTACTCTGTTTTTGTTTGTTTGAATTTTTTCATAGTAAATACTTAAAAAAGAACAGTGAAGTTGAAAAATTAATTAGATTTATCTTTAAGATTTAGATTACTAGTAGTTTACCTGAAATGATATGCTGTTTATATGTCTATATTCATAAATACATGTTTATAGACATATAACTTACTCTCCAGTTCATCAATTTACTGATCACCTACCATGTGTCCAAAAGAATGTTAAGCTTTTTTATTAGGTAGTTTTTTATTAGCTGTTAATAAGCATAGCATAGGTTATGATTACCTGAGCAAAGTAGACTTTTTAGAAAACTGATTGGGTTGTTATTTTTAAATGTAATGAAATAGAAGATGAGGAAATTATATTTATAAGAAAAAAAGACTATGTTTCTTTTGAAATGTATTTAACTCAAAATTAAATTATAAGTTCCTTTGAAAGAAGAGGCTATCTTATGCTTTTTCTATCTTCCCCAGTTTCCTCATCTTTAAATGGAGAAAATAGTAGTATGTGCCTCAGAGAAAATCACTGTCCTTCATCCATGCCAAATAAATAGAACAAAGGAACATACATGCTATAATAGAATTATATAGATAGATAGATAAAGAACACAAAGTATGGAGTAGACATCTTTATAGATACTGTACAGGGATCAAGGAAAGCTTCAGATGGGAGATAACCCTTAAGTTTAATGCTGAAAGATTATTAGGCCCACACAAGGCAAGAAAGGGGTAGAAGAGACAACGTTCTAGGCAGAAAGATCAGAGTGAACTAAGGTGTGGAGACGTGAAAAGGTTTGGTATGTTCTGGAGTCTATATGCAGTCTGAGTAAAGTAGAGGGAGCACTGTGGGAATAGAGGAACCTTATTTTAGAAGCCCTCACAAAATGTAGCAGGAAGTAATGGGGAGCTGAGCTGCCACTGAAGGGCTTTAAAACAGGAGAGTAACATGGTTAAATTTGAATTGGAAGGATTTTTTAATAGTCTACTTAAAACATACTCCTCTTTCCAGCTATGGTATGTAGAATTACATTAGTATAGTATAAACGTATACAGTTATCCATGGAAGAAGTTACTTAATCTAAAAAAATGTAAAGGTATAAACATTTTTTTTTTTTTTTAATTGGCAGGTAGAAGGTGGAGAGATCCTTCCCCAACCATAGCAATCCCCATTCTCTAACAAACAGAAGTATTATCAGGAATAACAAGGTGCTAGCTTGCGAATACTAACTTTGCTTGCAGTTTAGACTTGGAAGTATCATTTTATCCTTTGAGCTGTCAGCTTAATCTTAAGACATATACCCATAAGCCCTAAAAGTTTACCAGATATATCTGGGCTTTAATCTCATCATCAAGTGTATCACTTGTGTCCAGATCAATAGTTTAAATTAATATAAAAATATCAAATTTATAGTGTGATGTTGTTATTGTTGGTAGGTGCCATTGAGTCAGTTCTGACTCATAGTGACCCTATGTACAACAGAACAAACCACTGCCCAGTCTAGCACCATCCTCAGAATTATTGCTATGTATCCCATTGTTGCAGCCAGTGTGTCAATCCATTTTGACGAGGGTCTTCCTCTTTTTCACTGACACTCTACCATACCAAGTATGATATTCTTCTCCAGGGAGTGGTCCCTCATGATAGCATGTCCAAAGTACATGAGATGAAGTAGTGTGCTAGAGGATTTTAATTGTCTGATGCTGGAAAAGAAAGGGAAAAGGATATTGACCAAAGGGGATTTGATTCCAGGCTCACTTAGGTAGGGAGTCCAGAATAAAACCAGTTGATGTGGTGTTGACTTCAACTAATGGTGACCTCATGTGTGTCAGAGAAGAACTGCTCCCTAGGGTTTTCAATGGTTGTTTTTCTGAAGTGGATCGCAGGCCTTCTGAGGTGCCTCTGGGTAGACTCGAACTTCCAACCTTTTGGTTAGCAGCCAAGCAAGTTAACTGTTTATACCACCTAAAGCACGTTTACCATTTGCACCACTTAGTGACTCCAGGCTACAGAATGGCTCCCTCATTTTCAGTAGTTTCATCATCTAAAGGAGAGTGTCTTATTATTAGAGATTATTAGAGAAAATGAAGATTTTTTTTTAAGAAAAATGGAATTTTCCTCATTAGTAGAAAAGAAACATTTTTTCCCCCTAATAGTAGCAAGGAACAGAGGCTTTCTCCTATGGCCTTCTTTTAAAGGAAACAATGGAAAACAAAATATACCATTGCCTGGAATTCAAAAATACTATGAAAGCTACCTTAAGTAGTGTTTGTCTTAGTTATCTAGTGCCGCCATAACAGAAATACCACAAGTGAGTGGCTTTTACAAACAGAAATTTATTCTTTCACAGTTTAGGAGGCCAGAAGTCTGAATTCAGGGCACCAGCTCCAGGGGAAGGGTTTCTCTCTGTGTTGGCTGTGGGGGAAGGTTTTTGTCATCAATCTTCCCCTGGTCTAGAAGCTTCTCAGTACAGGGACCCCGGGTCCAAAGGACGTGCTTCGCTCCTGGCTTTTCTTGCTTGGTGGTAATCAGGTCCTTCTCTCTACTCCCTCTTTTATATCTTAAAAGAGATTGACTCAAGATACAACCTAATCCTGTAGATTATGGCCTGCCTCATTAACATAACTGCCTCTGATACTGCCTCGTTAACTTCATACAGGTTAGGATTTACAACACAAAGAAAAATTACAACAGATCACAAAATGTAGGACAATCACACAATACTGGGAATCATGGCCTAGCCAAGTTGACACACATTTGTGGAGGACACAGTTCATTCCATAATTGTGTTCTTCAGGACTGGGTAGTTTTTAACTAATTGATACACCAAAACTAATTTAAACTAATTGACATACAAATTATCAAAATCCTTTAAAACTCATTAACAGCAGTGCTTACATACACATGAAATGACATGTACAAGGGTGTGACATTGTTTATAATGGCAGAAGATTGGAAACAAGCTAAATGTTGATCAGTGCGGTCTGGTTAAATTATACACATACACACATGCACAGATTTCTGTACACACACACAATAAATACATGGACTACTATGCAACTGTAAAAATAATTGGTAAGTCCTATATGTACTAATATGGAAAGATTGCCAGGATATATTTAGTGATTGAAAACAATGTGCAGAATAATATGCCACTATTTGTATTATAAATGGAGGGACACAGGAAAGAATGTGTGTGTGGCTGTGTATAGATTTGCTTACATATAAATAAGAAACTCTAAGGATATACAAGAAAATAATGTTAGTTATCTGCTGGGGCAAGTGGTTGAAATATGTGGGAAACAGAACAGATGGGGGTAGAGATGGGAAGGAGGCTTTTTGTATTATTTGATTTTTGCAGCATGTGAACAAATTACTTATTAAAAAATTAAATGGATTAAAATTTTAAAGTCCTATTCTCCACCATTTTAAGTAGCTACAAGTCCTTGTTCTCATGTTCTTAGTGAGTTGAGAAGATTCCTACTTGCTTTAAATGTAGTGAATTGTGTACAAAATCCTATAGGAGCTATTATTGAAGGAATTGTTTTAGAAATCTCAGACTCATCTTCTGTTTTTTTTTTTGTCCTTTTCTTCTGGGGACTCCCTGCATTTCTCAGTGTTCAGAGGTCCAGGGAGAGGTAATTAAGCCATTAGGTTTTCCTAATGAGTGGCATACAGGTACTATCCTACTATTTAAAATGTGTCATGCTTGCTTTTACTTTGAGAATAAGAATACATTTTTAAATGTAGTTTTTGTAAGATTACTAAATTTCACACTTTACTAGCTTTTTGCCTCTTACCCTTTTGTAAAAATCTCATCATTTGTTCCATGATAATATAACTTTTGGTAGTCAGACTAAATTATTCCTTTCAAAGGAATACCCAAGTCCAAGACGGTTTGTAAAAGTAGTTATCTGTCAAAAGGGACCAGGAAGGAAGGCATATTTCTGACTTAAGAAGGCTCTGGAATGTGAGGAATTCGAATTAATTTATATTAAATAAATAATACAAACAATTTCAGGCTTGCAAGCCGTCGTTTTCTCAAGCATGGGGAAAGGGTAAAACAGGCAAGAAAATGACAAAAGGGATCTGGGCATTTCTTTGACTTCACAGAATTTTGCTCAACAGGAGCATCTTGGTTTATTTGCATGAAAGTAATTAATGGATAAGAGAATTGAGTCAGAAGTAGAAAAT